GATCGAGATGAGAGTAACCAATTTTATGTGACTAACAGGACAGTCTAGTGTCTTCAACCCAAGAGGACTGCGCCAGTTCTCAACTAAGAGAGAACAACAAAGGAGTCATAGATTGGAGGCGCTGGGTCGCGCTCTTCCAGGGTGCCGTGCAGAACTGGTCCGCAATCTTCGAAGAAGGTATCAGCCGAATTTCGCAGGCAGACAGCAATGACGATTACGACCGTCTGTTTCCCTCCCAGAGACAATCTGGGCAGTGAAACAGTTGTCTGGTAGAAAATTATCGGAAGCTCACACAATTTTAAGTGATTTACACAGATGCAGTGGCCCAAAACTCGTGAGAACGCATACCTTCCCGTTCAAGAGGATGCGACAAGAACACATCCCCTAAGACTTAAATGAAGTCCGTATCATAAATAGTTACAAACGGGACTCTGTAAGAACCCACAAAATCATTTCTCATCATATTTTCTGGAATGTCATGAGTTGCTCCATCAGCCATGGGCCGATCGAGATCAGCGTCACAGGTCGCTGGTGGGCTATTGGGGCTATTCTTGAATACGCGATCAAGCGCTTGAGAATTTTGGGTTTTTCCATCGCTGAGCAGCGATGCGGTACCGTTGATGCAGAGGCCATATATGCTGTTGATGAAGTCTAAAAGCTTCTTCGACATCTGAGAAAGCTGGTTTTGTTGGCGTTAGTCCGGCGGTCCATGTAAGCAGCCTTTCTTCGTTGTCGAGTAGGTTGCTGATATCCGCGTCGTTATCGTCAAATCAATCTAAGGACGTCAAAGGCTATGAAAAAAAATTCCGTATTTGGCATCGTGTTATTATCGGACGCTTGCAGGTCTTTCAGCCGCTGGGTCAATTAATTGCTGAAATCCGGGCAATGAGCAGACAAATTCAACTTAAAAATATTTAAGTTGCTCAGTGGTCGCTTGTTTTCTAGTCATCTGCGAGGTTGAAATCAGGGCCTCATTTTGGATATGACGAGGTGGTAATGCATCTAGTTATCGGCGTTGTGGATCGCCTTGGTCACCAGCACGTCCTGTCGATCTCGCCTCCGGACGAGAACATAGTCCAGCAGTTGCCAGCGCCGCGATTTTTGGTGCATTCACATTGCCTTCTCTCGCTTCGGAACGCGTAAGAAGGTGTTGGTCAGAGGAAGCGATGTTTTGTGCAGGTTCGCAGATCAAGGAGGCTGTTATCATCACAACCGTTAGGAACGTAATTATTTCTACTTCTTACGGCTGTGATCATGCCTGATCTAGCCGGTCTCAATGATATCACGAACGGTA